ATAATAGAGTCAGTACTCAAATAATGTGAGTACCAAGCAAGGGATTCATGGATAATATCAGGTAATAATAGAGCCACAACTTAATCTGGGAAGAATGCTTCTTTTTAAGAGTAAAGTCTATTACAAAAACAATCTTCTATCTTGTCTAGACAATTGTCCTCTCCTCTTTTTATTCTAGCTTTATTTATTGCGAACAATGCAAAAATGAAGCAGCGCACTATTAGATTTTGTTTTAATTTTTCTTTGCTGAATTTGTTGTCTCCCCCTGGTTAATACGTAATTTAGTTCAAACTGCACAGAGACATAAATTTCAAGGTATGCATTTCCAAATACATAGTTTTGGTAGGAAATTTAGTCATAGGTTTGAAATTCTGACCTAGTACAAATTGGGCCTGTAAATTTGGCCCCATATTTACCCAATGGGGCAGAATCATCAGCAGTTACAGAGGATCATCTGTTTTCTTAAAACAAGTTATGCAAGCATGAATGTACCCATTTTGGATGTGTAAAGATTCTCATTGAATTTAGCATTCCCAAACCTAGAATATAGGTTGTTGGTCAGGATCCTACTTTATACTTGAATTAAATTTTCTCTCATCTGGTCATAATCAAACTCCCCCTAAATACAGGAAGAGGCCTTGATTTCCAGGTTAAGAACTGGCCTGTCTTCTTGGCAAAGTCTCTTTACCCTTGGTGAAAGGCTCTTGATGAGCTAACGCATATATTTGGAGCTCTTGGGAAGAGAGGAAAAGAACATTTAAAACGTTAAAAGGAAATCCTTTGGCCTTAAATGACACAGGTGGTAACTCAAATACAGAAGAAGAAATGAAGAACTGGAAATGTAGACAAATATAAAATACTTTAAAAGCATATTTTTTTCACATTTCTTCCCTTAATTTCTTTAAAAGACATAAGATTGTATAAAGCAACAAATATAACACTGTATTATTCAATTGATAACAACAGATGTAATATATGTAACAATAATAGCACAAAGAAGGGGGGAAGAATAGAGCTACATTGGAGCAAAGTTTCTGTATTTTACCAAAATTAGGTTAGTATTAATCTTCAGGAGATTGTGATAAATTAAGATGTATTTGATAATTCCTAGAGAAACCATTGAGAGAATTTTTTTAAATAGTTTTAAAAATCAAGAGAATTTCAAATGGTTCACTAAAAATATTTTCTTTTAAAAGAAGTCAATAAAAGAACAGTGGGATAAAGAAGAAGACAATTCAACAGTGATAGTTGGAGATTTCAATATCCAAGAGCCAATAACTGATTGAACTACTTTACAAGAAATAGCAAGGGTACAGAAGACTTGAACAACACTATCAATCAACTCAAATTAACTAACTTATGTAGAATATTCCACCCAACCAATGCAGAATGCCTGGTCTTTTCATATGGATCATTTTCCAGGATGAAACCAGATGGTAGGCCATAAAACAAATCTCAGTAAATTAAAAAATCAAACAAACTATGTTTTCAGCCACAGTGGAATTAATTTGCAAACCAAAACAGAAAGAAATCTGGGAAATACCCAAGTACTTGAGAATTACACAGCACACTTCTAAATTAAAAAACAAAACAACAACAACAAAGAAAAGAAAAGAACAATAAAACTAAAAGTTAGCTCTTTGGAAAGATCAACAAATTGACAAATCTTAACTAGACTAACCAATAAAAAGTGGACGGATAGAGGATACAAACTACCAAATTCAGGTCATAGAAGAAATCATAAGGTAAATTCAGAAATATGTTGCATTGAATGAAAACCAAACACACTATACCAAAATTCTGACACGCAGCTAAAGCAGTACTTAGAGAGATATTTACAGCTTTAAAGGCATATATCAGAAAAGAAAAAAAAAAAAACTCTCAAACCAGTAATCTATGTTTCTACTTTAAAAGACTAGCAAGAGAAGAGCAAACTAAACCCAAACTAAACAGAAGAAAGGAAATGATAAATATTAGAACAGAAGCCAATAAAATAGAAAACAAAAACAAGAGAAAAAAAGCAATAAAACTAAAAGTTGGTTCTTTGAAAAGATCAACAAAATTGACAAATCTTTAATTGAACCAACTGAGGGAAAAAAGAGTGAAAATACAAGTTACCCAATTTGGGAATGAAAGAGGAAACATTACTACCATAGCTACAGAAACTTAAAAGATTATAAGGTAATTTATAAACAACTATGCCAAAAAATAAAACAAATGAGATGAAATGGACAACTTCCTAGAAATAATGGACAACATATTTAAATAGATAATATGCAAAAAATAAACAAATGACCCACACACATATGAAGATATGTTCAGTTTCATTAGTCATTTGGGAAATATGAATTAATTAAAATACAAATATAATTAAAATCACAATGAGATATTAACACCTACTAGAATGGCTGTAATCAGAAAAAAAGATAGTCCAAAATGTAGGCAAAGATGTGGAGATACTGGAACCCTTCTTGATTGTTAGTGGGAAGGTAACATGATACAGCCACATTGCAAAACAATTTTTAGTTTCTTATGAAGTGAAACATTGACTTACCATATGACCCAGCAATTTCACTTCTTGGAACCCATCCAAGAGAAATGAAAACATATGAACACACAACTATTTGTAAGTGAATGTTGACAGGAGTATTACTCACAAGAGCCAAAACTGGAAACCATCCAAATGTCCACCAAATGATGAATAAATAAAAGTGGCACATCCATACAATGGAATACTATTCAGCAATAAAAAGGAACAAAGTACTGATATATCCTACAGCTTAGATGAATCCCTAAAACATTATAATAACTAAAAGAGGCCTGATCCAAAAGACTATATATTATATGATTTCATTTATATGAAATATCCAGAAAAGGTATATTTGAAGAGAAAGAAAGCATGTCAGTGATTTCATAGGTCAGGTGTGGGATAGAGGATTTTCTGCAGATGGTCAGAAGACGACATTTTGAGGTATTGCAAATGTTCTAGAACTACAGTGTAACAATGTTTGTATAACAGCAAATTTTTTTTAAAAAATCATTGAATTGAGGGTCACCTGGGTGGTTCAGCTGGTTAAGCGTCTGCCTTCAGCTCAGGTCTTGATCCCGGGGTCCTGGAACTGAGCCTTGCATTGGGCTCCCTACTCTGCAGGGAGTCTGCTCCTCCCTCTGCCCTTCTCCTTGCTTGTGTTTTCTCTCCCTCCCTCTCTCTCTCTCAAATAAATAAATAAAATCTTTAAAAAATATCATTGAATTGAATTGCACATTTACAATGGGGAGAATTGTAGAGCGTATAAATTATCTCTCGATAAAGCTATGTTTATTTAAATGGCTAATAAATAATACGAAAAAAGGAACACAAATGGCTCTGTTTGGATGAAAGCGCCTGATTTCTTTATAAAGAACTATATATTAAAAGCATAAACAGATGTTTTTACAATTCAGGTTACTAAGATTTAAAAAGTTTATAACACACCCAACTGATAATGATAAGGACAATAGGCACTCTTATTTATGGCTCGGAGGAATATTAATCTGGCATATCCTCTATGGGGAGCAATTTTGCTTTATCTATCAGAATTGAAAATTACATGTTCCTTGACTCAGTAATTACATTCCTACTCCCACCGATGCCAAGTGATGAATTTACATTATATTTGCTACAAGTAAAAGATTGCAAACAATCCAAAAGTCCATCCATAGAAGACTAAGCTAAATTGTAATAGAACCAATGAGTAGAATCTAATGCAGTTTTAGAAATAAACAGCTCTCAGGAAAAAAAAATAGAAATAAACAGCTCTCTTTAGCATATTAGGAAAAGATCTGCACTCTTAAGTGCAAAAAAGTGAAAGCAGAACAATGTGTATACAGTATGTTGCCATTGTGAAGTATGAGCAAATACAGTAATAAATAGTAAAAACATTAAAGATATGTTCTGTGCTTGCTTGCTTTCTGGGAACATAGGTGAGGTCATTAAAAATAGGGAAGTGATAAAACTATTTTCTCTGTCTACACTTTTGTACTTTTTCAATTTTGTATCATGTGCAAAAATTTAAAAACAGTAATACCATGTAAATTATCTCTAAAGGAGGGCTTTGAATAAGCTTAAGAGAGATATCGAGAAAGAACACTGGGCTCATACTAAATGAAATTATCTTTCCATCTGATTATAAATCTAAAACATTGAGTCATTCATTAATATAATGGTTATAAATTCTTGTTTGTTGCTATAGCAATAACTACAAATTTGACTTTAAAATCTTTTATTTGGGAGAAATTTCTATTCAATTACCAGGAACGTTATTTAATTTGAAACTGATTTTTTGCTATTTTAAACTATTTTAAAAAACCAAGCATGGCATTTTAGAGTGAATTTCTTTTTAAGTTGAGGATTTGTTTTCCTATAATCTATGATTTTAAAAAAATCAGTCAATTCAGAGTATTACTTTTAAATGCTGGAAGTTTAGACAATAATTATACTAAAAACTAGATATGAGTCTTTGACACAAACTTTGAGAGCAGAAATAAATGATTTCTGCCAATAGGATTAATGGTAATTCGGCATACTTGGAGCAGGCTTTCCCCCTGGATAATCTCATTTAGACACATGTTCCTTTTCAAACTTCATTACACATAAATATTTCAAGGCCTCTTAAGCTTTTTGTTGTTGTTGTTATCCTTTCTTTCTTACCCAAGATTTTTTACTTTGGTATCCATGCTGTGCCTTCTATCAACTTTATTTCCCGGTAACTTGAAATTTTCTGATTCACTTAGCAAAACCTCCAACATTGTAATACCAACAAGCTGAAGAATGTCATACAAAACAAAATGCCAAAACTCACACAGAGTAGGCAGGAAGACAAGCTGATATCACCATCTCTCCAAAGGGCCTTTTCTTTTCTTTTTTTTTTTTTACAATTTTGAAATGCTTTATTTTTGTGTGTGTAATGGTTATTAACAAGTCTAATAAAGTTAGGATTCCAATGAAAAGAGGTGTTTTCATGAAAGCCTTCAGGGATCAGTTGTATGTCATATAGAGGGGAGTAGCACTGAATTTGGCATAAGACTTAATGACCTTATTTACAGCCTCCAAGAAATCCTTTTCAGTAGCAATTTTTCACTGTACTCTGATGGCAAACATACCAGATTCTGTGCAGACGCTTCTAATCTCAGCACCCGTGCTCTTTGGACACAGTCGTGCTAACAACCCAAATCTGATATCTCTTTCAACACTCACTGAATGAGCGTGAATCTTAAAAATGTGAGTCCGGGGGGCGCCTGGGTGGCTCAGTTGGTTAAGCGACTGCCTTCGGCTCAGGTCATGATCCTGGAGTCCCGGGATCGAGTCCTGCATCGGGCTCCCTGCTCTGCAGGGAGTCTGCTTCTCCCTCTGACTCTCCCCCCTCTCATGTGCTCTCTCTCTCTCTCAAATAAATAAATAAAATCTTAAAAAAAAAAAAAAAAGGGTGAGTCCGACCCTCTAGATCAGGTAAGCTAAATTCAATCTTTCTGTCCAATCTCCCTGGCCTCATCAGTGCTGGATCCAAAGTATCAGGTCGGTTAGTGGCCATCAGCACTTTAATGTTACCTCGAGGATCAAAATCGTCCAGCTGATTGATCAGTCCCAGCATCGTTCTCTGCATTTCATTGTCTCCTCCAGCACCATCATCAAAACGAGCCCCTCCAATAGCACCAATTTCATCAAAGAAGATAAGGCAGGCTTTTTTGTTCTGGCCATTTCAAAGAGCTCACGAACCATTCGAGCCCCCTCACCGACATACTTCTGTACAAGGTCAGATCCAGTAAGTCGAATGAAGCAAGCGTCAGTCCTGTTGGCAACTGCCTGGGCACAGAGGGTCTTGCCTGTACCCGGCGGACCAAAGAGCAGCACACCCTTGAGAGGATCAATGCCAAGGTTAAGTTGCTCAATCTGTTCCTTACAGCCACCCACATCACTGTATGTGACATCAGGTTTTTTTTCCACCTGCATCATGGTAACTGTTGGGTCAATCTTGGGAGGCAGCGGAATGTGAATCTGATATTTATTTCTGTCCACCCCAACTCTCATCCCTTCTTCAGTGTCAGTAGGTGCTACCTGATCACTGAGGTCCACCACAAACTTGGCAAACTGCTTCACATTGATAATGTACTTTGGGTCCTCTGAATCAGCATTGATTATCTTCGTACACCTCACAACCTGCAAAGGCTGTTCACTCTGCAGTGTTTGCTTATCTGCAGCCAAATCCCAGAGTGCTGGTGGGGCCAGGCCAGTATCAGATTCTTTAATACCAGTGAGCTCATTAATTTGCTTGAGAAGTTGCTGAATGTCATCTTCAACCTGCTTTATCTGCCTAGAGTAAGTGCTTTGACCATAAGTTTCCAGCAAGGCAATATCCCCCTCATCCAGAGCTCGGATGGGCTTGTCGTCCTTCTCATCTTCCTTGGTTTTCCACTGACTGGCACTGAGGTAATCCGGCATTTTAGGTGCTCCGAGTGCCTCAATTCCTTACTGATTACACAGCACCTCTGTCGCTTCCAAAGGGCCTTTTCTACCACAAAGGTCCCCATTGTCTCCTAAAGATCTAAAACTAACCATGGATTCCGAGCCTCAAATGTTTCTCTTTTAAATATAGCCAAATTCACTTAGAATTTTCTCCTGTGCCATTTAGCAAACATTAGTCAAGGCTCTAGATGACAGAGATTAGCATTAAAGATGGGAAAACAAATAAGTTCCAGTCCCAACCCGCCAGCAACTTAGAGACCAATAGGGAAGTCAAACATGTACACACATAATTATAATAAATTGTTATTTGGGCAGTAACAGAAATGTGTACACGGTAGAGGGCATGCAAATAAGGTGATTAATTCTGGAAGCAGAGGGAAGGTGCTTGCCTAGGACTGATGATGTGTGAATAGGTTTTAAAAGATGAGTAGAAATGTGTTCGGTGCTCAGTGCAGAAAAGCCCTGCCGGCAGCAAGCAGGAAACTGGGAAGCAGTCTGATGTGTCAGGGGAAATGCCAAGTAGTGATGCGCTGATGAAAAATAAACATGGCAGCTGGAGGTTGCAATGGCAGGCGTGAGAATAGGGGGTTAACTCCCCACAAGGTCTAGTATCCTACTTTCTCCTCACTGACCTTTGAAGTTGTGTTTCAGAGCCAGGAGAATTGTACAGAACCTGGGGAAATTCAGATGTGATATTTATAGGTAGCTGACAGGCTGTAAATTAATATACAAACATTCCTTGCAGCTTTGTCTACAGTTGTAAAGGGTAAACTAGATATTCATAATTTGGGGTCTGATTAAATAAAACATGATAGCTTCACATGATCCAGTAGCATGAGTTGTTTTTTTTTTTTTTAAATAAGGCCCTGCTACGTGTATTAAAATGGATCTCATTCCAGTATAAAATACTCAGTGGAAAAACAAAAGACAAGAGGCTGATCAGGTATACACTGCCTTTTATGTGGTATTTGAAAATATATACATATTACCAGACTACGATCTTTTAAGCATGTAATGGTATCAGTTTTTAAAAAAAACAGCCCAGGAATTCATTTTCTTCCCCCATTCCCTTTCTTTCATCTGTGGAAATGAACAAGATAATACTAATCAGGACAGTGAGAGGAGAAGAGATAAAGCAGTTAAGAATTCATACTTAGAGGCACTGGGGTGGCTCAGGTGGTTAAGGTCTGACTCTTGGTTTAGGGTCAGGTCATGACCTCAGGGTCCTGGAATAGAGCCCTGCATTGGGCTCCATGCTCAGCAGGGAGTCTGCCTGAGGAGTCTCCCTCTCCCTCTACCCCCATTTGCACTCTCTCTTTCTCTCTCACACTCTCTCAAATAAATAATATTTGAGAGAGAGAGAGAGGGAGATAGCAAAAGAGAGCACAAGCAGGAGGGAGAGGGAGAAGCAGGCTCCCCGCTGAGCAGGGAACCCGATGTGGGGTTCGATCCCGGGACCCTGGGATCATGACCTGAGCCAAAGGCAGATGCTCAACCGACTGAGCCACCCAGGCATCTCATAAATAAATAAATCTTAAAAAAAAAATTCACACTCAATTGTAGATTGTCTCACAGAATTAAATATGTTCAACAAAAATACTACATATAACACTTCAGTTAGAGTTTGCACCAGCACACTGTACTTTTGATCAACAAATAAAATCTTATCTTTACTGCCTGGGTATACATACGTTTGTGGTGATGTTGGTGTAAGGGGGAAGAGGCATGGGGAATGTCAAGCTGGAAGACTATATGTCTCCTGAAACATGGAGACCCAGTCCTCCAAATATAAGAATCTAACATTAGGGAAGCAAGTCATTCTATTTAACAAAAGCCTGATGCTAATGGAGGACAAAATGAATAGTGTGGACATTTTTATAGATGCAGCAAGATGCTGTAGTCCTGTAGATGTCGACTGTGTTACAATTATTTCTGTCTTGGCTCATGTCATTTTGAATTTTGTGCTAGCAAAACATCCTAAAATTTGATATCTGTCATGTACCAAAAAGCTTGAGTCCACTGCGTAAAATCATCATCCTCGCTTTCCACACTAACACTTTTAGACATTTGACCTATCTTAAATTAATCATGAATATATTTGTACATATCCATGGAACTAAGCTGAATTTAAAGGAGGGAAAATGTGTGTTATGGGTGCAAGGACAGGACCTGACCACATAATACCCAGAAGTAATTTGCAAGTGCACCAAATTCAATGTCCAGAGCTCTGTAATCTGCTCTGAAGGAACCAAGAAAAGAAATATACTGTGCCCATCTCACAACTCTCCATTTCATAAAACAGTTGTAAATGCTACGAAGAGTTATGGGCCAACACAACGTGGTCGGTTCCCCGTCTGTGCTTTGAGGTTGGAGAGCCAGGCTTTGTAGATGTGGAGAGGCGGGGCGGTGACTGAGGACACTGCCCCTGTCTTGGCCTGACAGGGCTCTTCCCAGGCTGTCAGGACGCCAGCTGGATCTGTCTGATCTTCAGCAGCAAGCTGTGGATGAAGTTCCTCCTGCGGTAGAAATCCTAGGTGCTAATGACCTCCCTCTCTTTGATTAGTTTCTTTCATTTCCAGGTTTCAGGAAACCTAGGGAATTTTTCCTGCTGTGACTCCTTTAAATACCAGTTCTTGCCCTAGTGGACTTCAGCATCCAGAAGGAGCCTAAGACACCACTCATTTGTCTCTTTATACCGCCCTTCATCTAATGGATTCCTCATTATAGACCTAAGTTTACTCTCTGAACCAATTTCTGTTCATGTCCTTGGCTTGAAGGTTCAATTGGCTGCCTCCCAGAGGTCCAGTTCTTATCTCTTCTGAGGTTAGGTGTGACCTAAACTAGGAAAGGTCAGGGCCTTTGTCTGCATGTCCCTAAGGCCGTACACACTTGAGTTTTCCCATGTAGACAATCCTTTTTCACTTGTTCAGCACTGTAGGCCATACAAGGACATGAAAGACCATTATACCTTGAGCTTCTAGTTTGCTGTTTAAGTTTTAAACTTATTTGACCATCCTCATATCTCAGTCCAGGCTGTTCATAAAGACAAATTTCAAACATGAAAAGGGGCTTTAGCTGACTGCCCCTGATTGAGTGCCCCAGAAAGCAGTCTCTAAGACAAAGATGAGCATGTGGGATGTTTATTACAGAATGCTTTTGGAATCAGCACCTATGGAATGGGAAGGAAGGAACAGGATTGGACAAAGGGAGAAGCTGGGCTGTGATACAGTCCCAATGAAAGGCTCACTCAACTCAACCCAGTGGGCGCTCTGGAACTGTGAGGGCCCCTGAGCGTGGTTCTCAGTTGGGGTGAGTGGATGGAGACTTTATACTCCTGCCTTGGTCAGTCATTGAAAGAGAGCTGCCCAACCCCAAAGAGGACCGACAGCTGAGGGACATTCTGAGCAGCGCTATTGGCAGCTGGGAGAATAAGACCTTTATCAGCAAAGGGAGGTCTGAGCAGCAGCATGGCGTCTAAAACAGGGACCACACAGGACCCTTCCATTTCTCTTGACTCCCCATTGAGTTCATTCATTTCCGAACTCTGTTGCTTTCTCTCTTCTGGTTACAGACGTCCGTCTCTACCCCTGCCTCCCTCATGTCTGGCAACTCTCCACTGACCCCCAGCCCACATACGCCCTGCCTTTGACTTCTTGGACCTTGGCTCCCATCCCAGCTTTGACATCCTGGGGTCCTTTTCCTTTCTTGGGACCACAAAACACCCTCCTGCCAAAAGGGAAATTAGGTTTTGGATTCTGTGGCTCACCTAAGTCAAATTGTGGAAGGTAATAACATACCTCCTCCACTGAGAAAACAATTCCTTCAGTCACTGAAAATAGGCGACTTCTTTCACTACATTTGGGGCTTAGAGTGAAGAAGGCAGGCAAAGGTCACGTATAGATTTTTAAAGTTCTTGGTACATAGCTCACACCAAGAGACCTACAATTTGGAGATTCTGAATATCAAATATTCCAAGAGTGAAATATAATTTAGGGACAGTCCTGAAAATCTGAACTATAAGTTATCAAGGGATGATTAACCAAGGTGAGAGAATTCACTGCAAGCCCAGGCAAAGAAAGCCTCCAGAAATGTATCTTTTCTTCTGAAAGGTCACCGGCTACTCTCTGTTACTATTTCTCCTCAAATTTACTAAGATAGGTTCAGTGTTTCAGCAAGTACAATCTTCTAGAAAAATGATGTGGCCACAGCTATCACAAACCCCATGAACTGGTTGGAACGGATCTAAAACATGGCTCTGTTGGGTTCAACAGTGCATCACTCTGGAAGTCAGAGATGAACTACTGTTATTAAGACTTAACTGTAAAGCTAGGAGAGAAAGCTACTCTATTAGAATGTAGTAGACATGAGGCATTTTGTGTAATACCAAACGCTTTACAGGCAACAATAGCATTGTACTATCAAAGCAAGTCCAAACACTCGTGATCATGCTGATAATTTTAAATCATCGCCCCAAATCACTATTTTTTGTTATGTTTTTAACAGAGGAAAAAAAAACCAGAATATTTTATTTTTCTAAATCCCTATTTGGAGACATTAAAATAAAAGAAAATTTAAAACAAGAGGCAACTCTTAAAGGACAACTGGAAAACTGAATTTTGGGTGGAGGCTAGGGAAAAAAAGTATTCTGGAGTGTAAGCTGAAATGTGTGCCAGTTGCTAGGTAGACAAAGGTCTAGGGGTCCCAAAAGGAGATTCACTCCAAAGCCAGAAAGGGTGTGGAACCTAATCCTACTGCAGGTAAGATGAACGGGAGCTCACATATGACTACCTGGCCTTTGGGCTCAATTCAGAAATGCTCGCTTGCTGTAACACAGGAGTGTCCAGATAGCCCCCGAGTTGACCAGGCACTGACAAAGGGATGGGAAACATGGATGGTCACGCACTTACTGGACAGGAATAACAGCCACATCTGGATCATGAAGCGGGCTTCTCAAACTAATTGAAATTTTGGTGGGAAAGGGTGTGATCAGG